AGCTCCTGCCTCTAGCTTCTTGCCCTGCTTCAGTGCCTGTCCTGACTTCCTTTGGTGATGAATGATAATATAGAAATGTAAGCCAAATAAATCTTGACCTCCCCAACTTACTTTGGTCATGATGTTTCATCATTAGCAATAGTTACCCTAACTAGCTAGTACATCATCCAACTGTTTTTCCTCCAAAAGGAATATAGTATATGATTGATATGATGAGTACAGTGTGGCCAAAGTCCAATCTGACCACTGTTGAGTCCCATGATGTGGCCACTGGGTGAAGTAGTGTCTCTTATCATGTCTTTTCATATTCTCAGCTACTTGGACATCCACTGTTGTTTTATTAAATGCATTATTAAAATTATTGTTTTATTAGAATATCTTTAAATTCCTAGAATTTTGTACTATATTTTATTATACCTCATTGTTTCTTGTGCAGTTGAAAATGTTTATCCCAGTAGATACTGTTGCAGTATTGAGTAGCTGCAGCCCATGGTGCATTATGCTTTCCTTCTTTAACACTAGTCAGAAAATCAACAGGTTAAAACACCATCAGCAGAATATAGTGGAGTTTAATAGCATCTTCAACAGCAAAGTGAGTTGGTATAAACAATATAATAAAGAGGTTGGCTTTTATAATTGACAAGCAAAAAGTTTCAAATATCAAAAACTTCCTATCTTGCAGTCATGATATGATTTTCATTATAGCAATCTAAGTTAACATAGTTGGGGGGGCACTCGTTTATGGTCTTTTTAAAAAATACATGCATTCTTGGCAAGATGTAATTGTCACAAAACTTTAATGACAACACCCATTTGATGACTTGTTCTGTGTTTTAAGCAGTAGAGACTGACATTGCTCTTCTCTGTGCTCTAAGCCTGGGGGGTGTGGTGTGACTCTGGAGATCTCTGAAGGTTTGTGATGAGCACACTCACAGCCTGGGAAGTGTGCTGACTCTGGAGTTCTCTGAAGGTTTGTGATGAGCACACTCACAGCCCGGGGAGTGTGGTAACTCTGGAGTTCTCTGAAGGTTTGTGATGGGCACACTCACAGCCTGGGGAGTGTGGTGACTCTGGAGTTCTCTGAACGTTTGTAATGGATGCCAAGAAGTGTTATTTCTTCCAAGCTCTCAGACCACGTTAATTCTACAGATCTACAGGCAACATTCTGATCAGCACTGGGGTGACATTGTGGCAGTCACTCCTGACTTAGGGATTGAGAAAGTACTTAGACTTCATATCTGGAGAGAATCTAAGTTTAGAACAAAATATTCCATATCCAACAACCCATTGCCATAGACTGATAGGAATGGAGATTTCATGCTAAAGTGTTAATTATCAGTCAGGAAACAGACAACCAACCCTTCTGGTATAAGTTACATTACTCTTTGTCATCTTTGTAGTATATTGAAGGATTCTCTATGTGTATATCAAATCAGTTTCCTATTTGTGCTAAAGTTTCTTATCCTAAGGTGGCACAGGGATTGAACAATATAAGTTCTTTCCGCAATTTAAAAATTTCCCCCAAATGTGAGGAAATTATTGGAAAGTCATTGCTGTCTTGCAGTTTAAGAAGAGTAAAATAAGCTGTTGAGTGAGACTCTGGAAACAAAGAAGCAGGTGTGGGGCTGAGAACTGTGATCTCGGGACTCTGCTTGCTCAAGAAGGATCGGGCCAGCCTGAACTATGTGGTGAGCTGAGTTCCAGGGCAGCCTCAGCTACATTATAAGCCCTTGTCTCAAGGAAGTCTTTCTTAAAGCATCAAAAAGATGCTATTTTTTACTGTTGTACTATTGTGATATATAATGTGCTTTAACTTTCTATTAAGTAACACTTTAAAAAGAAAACATTTATGTGGAGAGGAAGCCCCGAGTGTGTGAGGCCTGAGTAAATTTATGGATACAGGCACAGCGTGTCAAGGAACTTAGCCTCAGACCCACAGGGAATGGTGAAGCCTCCCCCTGTCTCCACGGTAAGGCTCACAGGGATAGCAAAGCCCCCCTCTGCTCCCAGTGCAAATGTTGACAGTGTGTGCAGAAAATGCTCACTGTCCTGTCTTCCTCTGGGTGTCTACAGCCTGAAGACTCCCCCACTTACAGACACTGCTTCTGAGAGTAGCCAGACCATCTTCCTGCTCCTGCTGATACCAAACCCTACCTCCTTGTTATCTAATGTAATGACCCCCTCATTGCTCAGTTGTATGTAATAAAGCCCGCCTCCCTGGTTTACTCAATATACTAAACACTCTGAACTTCCCAGCTGCTGCAGTTCTCCATCAAGAGTGTTTAGATATTCACTGAAGCTGTGTTTTCCATGTGGATATCTACTCATTTAAGAGCCATTCAATGCATAAAAACAGCTATAGTTTGGATCTGGAATGTTTCTTGGAGGCACACTTGTTGATGCCTAGGTGCCAGGTTGTGCTCTTGGGTAATGGTAGAACCTTTAGGAGGTCGTACTTATTTGAAAGCTTAGTGCATGCCCTTGAAGGGAATATTGGAACACTGACCATTGCCTTTTGGCCACCAAAAGCCTCACTTGCCACATGCTCAAACTGTGGTATAATCTGCTACTGCAGGCCCAAAGCAATAGGTGCAGCTCATCATGGACTGTAATCTCCAAAACTGAGAGCCAAAACAACCCTTCCCTCTGTATAAGCTGATTTATCTCAGATGCTTGTTACAGTAACAGAATGCTGACTGAAATACTCGCCTTTCCTCACTGCATTGCACACCTTTGCAGAGTCAGTTGACTGTATGTGTGATTATTTCTAGATGCTTTGTTCTGTTCACCTATCTCTTGTATCATAGTATGAGTTCAGGACTACAATCCTAGTTTCTATAGTGATTGTCTTCTTTACTGTGCAGAAGCTTATTTCCTGGAATCCCATTCGCTAGTTTTTGGGATTATTGTTATTTTTAATAGACTGTATCATTAACTGGCTTCTGTAGAATCATGTTGAATTCTAGTAGTACAAGCTTCAGAAGAGAAGCTCCCCATTTCAGAAAGAATCAGAAAATACCAAGATAGAAGAAGATTGGATCTCATTTTGACTATTGTTGAACTAATAATAAAGGTTAATTGTACCTTTCAGTTTGGAGCAGCCAGGAGTTAGTTCTGTTTTTGTAGAATTCTCTCCATCACATTGGTGCGTGATCAGGTCAATCAAATAGGCTTCCTGTAATGGTCTGTTAGAAATTACCCGGCTTTTCATCTGCACTGCTCTTCTTCTAAAAGCTTCCAGTGGCATCTCGAGGGCATTATTTAATACTTAAAACATGCTGATATTAAATGTTTCCACATGTAAACTTTTAAAAATTTCTTCTTGGTTTTTTAAGTGGGGTCTTACTATCTAGTTCAGTCTAGTTTTGAATTCACCATGGATTTCAAGGTGGCCTTGGTCGTCCTCTGTAGACCAGGCTGCCCTGGAACTCAACAGAGATCTGCCTGCCTTTGCCTACCAAGTGCTTGGATTAAAGGCTTACACCACGATGGCCAGCAAGACTTTCTTTCCCATAGTAGTTAGATGAGTTAGCTTAGGTATCTGACTGCTAATAACTGATGAATTTGGCATGAAGAGAAAAGTTGGCTAAAGCAGAAACTTAGTTCTCCTTGTTTGCCCTTGTTTCCCTTAGTTGCTCCTTGTTTACTAGTTCTTCTGTTTAATAACCAAATAGCAGAATCCCTTTGGCTTTACTGATAAGGATCAGCAGCAGTGTGGGCAAGGTTACCATGACAACACATCCATTGTTAAAGTCACAGTTTAAAAATATTAAACTTACATACCTCCTGAATTCAATGGGAATTAAAGCTATGTAGCCTCATGTTAGCATGATTTACTATGCAAATCGAATGAAAAGTGAGGGTACTTGTAAGATCTTCTGCCCTTTTAGTGTTAGGAAGTCAGAGAAAGAATCTGTTAGTTCCATTACTTGGTGAGCTGTCTACATCCGTATGTCATGAAATATAGGCATAACTGTTTTATTGAAATGAGTTGAAAAAGAAAACAAGACAATTACTAGGTTTGTCTTTGAAATTCAAATGTGTTCTATAGTATGTTTGATAAAACTTAATAATTACTGCTTGAAAGATTTTAAATAGTGCTGTCTAATGGTTTCTTATTTACTTGGGAATGAAAAAGTTACGCCTGAGCATCTGCATTGTCACCCGCATATTATTTTAAGTGAAATGTCCTAAATTTAATCTTTCTTCATTGTTTGCTGAGAGCTTGTTAAATATCAGAGACAAGAGAACCAAAGAGAAAAGGAGGGGAAAGCAGGGTAGGTGAGGTTCCCAGTAACCCACATCGCAGTTAGCATTTCCCAGTTATGACTTGGGCAGAACTTTCTGTTTTTGACAAAATACTATATATATTAAAAACCTTACTAAAAATTTCTTAGATTCAGAAACTTCATATGAGAAAGATATTTAATAAATTTATATTGGAATGTTTTATCAAGTTCTTTAAAAATGTGGCCTAGAAACTATGAAAACTTCAGGGCTGAGAAGAATATGAAAAATCCTGTGTTTCTATAGTTAGATGTGTTTTAAGTTATAGTTGTATAATTTCATAATAAAAGCATCCTTGTCCATTTTGAACTTTTATTTACACTGAAATCCATTATATAAGGAAGTATTCATCTGTGTAGTTTGTGTTCCTCCTTTGTCAGGTCCTGCTGCTCTGCACGCACCAATTTGTTTGTGTGAGTCACCTCTGTAGGTAAATTATCTATGAGACCAGTGACTCCGTGAGCAGATTATCTAGAGAATGCTGTCTTTGCACGTTGTGACAGATCATGTCACTGGTGGATCTGCAGCTACTGCAGTGGTCTAATTTACCTGGCAGTTGTCTCCTGTGCCCAACACTGTTGTCTCATTGCCTTGGCATCTCACTTTCCATCTTCTCATTATCTTCTTAACTAAAGCTCAGGTTTATGACTGTTTTGTTTGTCTTAAACCTACCCCAGTCAACTCTACTAACTGCCCTTATTTTTGATTGGCAGTATCATCCAGATAAACAAAGTGCAGATGCGCCAGCAGGAACCATGGAGGAATGTATGCAGAAGTTCATTGAAATTGATCAAGCATGGAAAATTCTAGGGAATGAAGAAACCAAAAAGATGTATGACCTGCAGCGGCATGGTAGGTACTTGTGGTGCAGAGACAAAGCCATGAATAGCTCTTGGAAGCACAGTGTGCAAGCCACACCTGCGGAGCGTTTCCCAGCATTCGCATCAAGTTATTGCCGTCACTGCTCCTCGCCCCATCGCTGTTTTTAATTCCATCCTGTTCTTAGTAGTGATCATTGTGTCTGTTGAGAAGTTAACATCTTATAAAGTGTTGTTGCTTTCTGTAAACTACTAAAAAAGGCCAATTTATACCCCAAATTAGTATGCATTATATACTTAGAGCTACTTGTTACTAAACTTATATATGTATGCATTACAATCTTAAGTGCTGTATTTGGAAGATGATTTCCTGTAGCTGTGATCATCTGCGGGAAGCTGTTACTCAGGTTGGCTCCTAGTTACTCACTGCCTGTGCCCTTTGTTTTAAGGTAGATTTCGTGATGAGTTACTCTTTATGAGACTGCTGTCAATGGTGCCTTACAAATGAACATTGCTTAAATAATTTTAAAGGTCATTTCTTTTTGCCTTTTGAAAATAGCTCCTTACAACAGTGACAAGCTGTTGGGAGAAAGAAAGGAGAATGTAGGTCAGGTTTGTCACGCATGAACTGACTTACACGAAGTGATAGGCTGTCTTTCAGCACTGGCCTTGGGACAGGAGTTCCTCAGCCTCATATCTAGACTTTCAGTAAGCACCATACATGCTAATGTGGTGAGCCAATCATCGGGTACAGCCTGTGGGACAAACACTGAGTTGCCTCTCCCAATAGCACACCAGGCTCAGCACTGAGATGTGCTGATAGGAGCTCATGGTCCTTAGCTGATTAACAGATCCCCTCCCATGCTAACACCGGCACACTCTCCACCTCACCAAATGAATTTTAAGGCTTCTGCTAAGATTATGACAGGTTGATTTGAGAAGCAAGGCTTTATTTCTAAATGTAACATTATAGGATACAGCCAGTGTTTGTAGAAATCCGTAGTATCAGAGGCAGCAGTACACTGAAAATATATATTTCTTTTTCAGTTTGTCATACCCTTGTGGTATTTGATTTTTCTCATTTCTGTTTTTTGAGACAAGGTCTTTCTTTGTAGCCTCGGCTGCTCTCATACTCGCCATATGTCCAGGCTGGACTTAGACTTGCTGCGAGTCTCTGGACTACTCTCTGAGTAGTGGGACTACAGGCACGTGCTAGCTCTAGCCTTGTTTGTAATACTGTTTAGTTTTATTACTAATCCTATCTGGGCACTCTCTACTTTTAAAAGACCAGTGTTATGATTTTTTTGTTTTTGTTTTTTACTATTAGGTCCTGGTGAATTTTCCTTTTCAAGGGTTTTGCTTTGGTTTTCAAATGTGACTTAAATATCTGGTCTTCTATTTGATATATATTTCTTTAATAAAATTTTATTTCTGGTAGAAAGAATGTAGAGGTACCTTCATTCGAAAACAAACTCTGTCCATAGGTTCATCCTTATAAACAGGCTTCTCCTGGTAAGTTCCTGACTGTGTGGAAGCGAGCACATTTAAATATAACATAATACTGAGTGTGAGCTGTCCAGCCTCATAAAATCACAGAGCTCTGTTGGTGTGAGTTCTCTGATGTTAATTCTATGTTTTATCAGTCCTTACTAATGTGGGATACAGTTTGCTTAAGAAGAATTTACACAAAACCATACCCTAAGGACTATAGGACAGGGACTGGAGGGATGACTCAGGAGTTGAGAGCACTGCCTGCTCTTCCAGAGAACCTGGGTTCAATTCCCAGCACCCATATAGCAACTCATAACTATCTATAACTCCAGTCCCTTGGATCCAATGGTCACTTCTGGCCTCTGTGGGCAGGAACCAGGCATGCATGTGGTACACACACACACACACACACACAGGCAAAATTTCCTATGTATGAAATAAAGCGTGTAAGACATGTTTGTGTAGTGTGGATCCAATGGTCACTTCTGGCCTCTGTGGGCAGGAACCAGGCATGCATGTGGTACACACACACACACACACACACAGGCAAAACTTCCTATGTATGAAATAAAGCGTGTAAGACATGTTTGTGTAGTGTGGATCCAATGGTCACTTCTGGCCTCTGTGGGCAGGAACCAGGCATGCATGTGGTACACACACACACACACACACAGGCAAAATTTCCTATGTATGAAATAAAGCGTGTAAGACATGTTTGTGTAGTGTGGATCCAATGGTCACTTCTGGCCTCTGTGGGCAGGAACCAGGCATGCATGTGGTACACACACACACACACACACAGGCAAAATTTCCTATGTATGAAATAAAGCGTGTAGACATGTTTGTGTAGTGCCTGCAGTTTTACCACGTGAGCCTGTATACCATAAAGATTATGTGAGTGACACTGGCTGAAGATCTACTTTCCAAAGGGTAAGAGAAGAGTAAAAATTATGCAGTATGGCCTTTTTCTGTGGCATGCAGTAGGGTAAACTCACAAATGGAAAGAAGTAGGAAAGTGATTTAAAATGAGCTCAGAATTGCATGAGGGGAGATTTAAAAGACATTATAACTGTAAATACTTGGTAGAGCCTAAGAAGTTCCTAGGATTATTCATTTTTTTGAGCTTTGAGTGTGCAGTTTTAAGCTTTTAATAACTTAGTTTTTATAGCCTACAGTATCATAGGGGGATTTTATAGGTAATTAATAAGATCACAATAAAGTTGAAAAAATTATGATTCAGATTAAATAGTCCTGAATTTATATGTCTGTTTGCTTTGCTATTTCTTCAGGTAAGTGATTATTAAATGTAGCTGTTTTAAGACAGTAGACGTACAGCTTTTAATGACGTCTGAGTACCTCAGATGTAACACAAGCATGTTCTTCAGAGGTTCTGGACGTAAATGCTGTATTCCAATTTTAAATGGCTACTGGCCTGCTGAGCTCTCATATCTAAGTGTGCTGGCTATATTTAAACCTTTTATTTCAGAACTACCTTTCAAAACTCTTGTGATAAACCTGGTTTGAACATTGACACTAATTTCTTTTTACTCATGAATAAATGAAATGGACTCAAATATCTAACAGGATTTAGATTTGATATAAGGAAAACCTTTGAGGGTACTAATTTGATCATTATAGGATAGTAAAAGGGAGAATTGTTAAAACCAGGTCAGAGCACTCAGTTTTTCTGGGTCACCCCCTGGGGACATGGAAATAGCTGTGGTAGTACAGAGCTCCGTACAGTGGCGATGGCTTTTGTAAACTTCCTTTTTGCAGTGTTTAGAGTATTTATTGCCTACCTGCCATTGACTTGCAGCATATGTTTAAGCTGTCCTTGCTCCGTTGACTGATGATCAATGCTCTTCCATAACTCTGAGCTCAGAGTGGTACTCTATTTTAAGAAGAATCTCATCAGTATTGCCACAGCCATAAGATGTATCCAGAAGCTAATTTAAAGGACCCTTGGCATCCATATTGTTTACTTCTCAAAGGAAACTACCGAATGGGTTATTTCTAATGAAGAAAATGTGATAGTAGGGAAAAGAGCCTTAAGTAAAACATATTTCCCCCCTTTCCGTGTCTTTATTCTTGGCATTTGAAAGTGATGGTAACTAGTAAAATTGACCAATTAGTTCCAGCCATAAAGATGGCTCTAAAGCTGCTTGCAGAATCCCCTGGAAAGATCCAAGAGCAGACTTTGCACACTTGGAGAAAGAACTTTTTCAAGATGTGTAAAATCTTCACATAAACAATGCTATCAAAAAGATTTTGGTGTCTTTATAAGTCTTATTGGGAGAGTTTTCTCATGTATTAAACACACCAGAATAAACAACAAGTATTTCGTGGGAATAAAAGAGCTTTGTCATGTTCTGTCGCACATATCACAGTGTCTCAGTGGCTCTAGAGATGGCATAACTAGGAGTTATTTCTCTGTTTTCTGAAGAGGAGCAGACTTGACAAATGCAGTTGATCAGATGAAGTAATACTTAAAAAAAAAAGTGAGTTGTGTTTGGAATCCCTGTTGATACCATATTGTTGGGTCCAGGGGGGTCTAATAAACCAGAAGCAAACTTTATTTTGGAAACCAGATTCCAGGAAAACCAGAAGCTTTTAACCCAAACTTAAAAATAAAAAAAAAATAAAAAAAAAAATAAAAAAAAAAAACACTGTAGGGCACAGAAGCTTATCAGCTAGCTGAGACTATAGCCAGAGATGGTGTTTGTTAGGCTGTGGCAAAAGGCCAGTTTCTGAACCCATCTTTTTATAGTAGGGGCACCAAGCATTAGGTCTGAACAAAGGAATTTTTACAATCTCAAGGTAAAACTCACATACAGATTGCCTTATTTTCCAATCTCCATTAATGGAGTTTTTCAGTTAAATTAGTAATCTATTGTCTTTTTTGGTACTTCCAGGCAGTGTTTACTGAAGCCCTGTGGTCTCCCCTTTGATGCTACCAGTTTCACATAGCAGGGAAAATGCATAACCCAGAGGTCATATATCTATTTCCTAAAAGTTGACTCAGCTCATATCCGTAGGCTAGCTCTCAGTTTGCAGAGAGATGCTTTGGCCTTGTAATAGAGCTACGGGTTGTAAAGCGAAACAACTCACTGTTAATAGTTAATCCTCAAGCTGCCGAGACAGCTGCTGACAGTCTGTTCTCATTCTCCTAGACTTACAACTTTATATTTCTTTATTTTTAACATTTTTATTTTTGGAATCTACATTTTTATATTTTTATTCTTGGACTCTTCAGTATTAGAGTACATCTTGTTCTGTCAGTGTGGGTAACTGTTTTGGTAATGGTGTACCTTCATTCTGCCAAGTGCACAAGTGCATAGCTGCCTAAGCAGTCTGGCCAGAGGGGTTTGGCAGAGCATACACGAAGATGCTGCTCTTTGCTAGATATAGCAACTATTTATATAAGTTTCTGATGTTTTATTATATAATTCACTTCATTTCTTTATTAGGATGAATATTTGAAAATGGAAGATAAGGAAATAAATCTTGAACCAATGAGGAATGAATCTTTAAGTTCCACAGATA